CAGCTCAGCAATGGACCAGCATCCAGGTGTGTACTGTGCTTACTACCTAGCATAGCTGCCCACCACTCCTCTATAACAGGACATTACTTTGATCTTCGTGCTAATCTGGATACTTTTCCTTCCTTTCGTGCCTTAGTTGACACACATGCACTATATGACTCATCTGTCTACAGAGAAATTGCCATGACCCCACAGCATCTTACAAGAAAAAATAAACATGCAACATTGTAACCAGCCCTTTTTCTGCCTTCAAATCTCATTTCTTGATGGAACTGCCACTCATACTGCTGGCCCAGGCAGTGCCCCAAGTCCTTAACCCATCACCTCCTGCCAGCCCCCATCGGGATCAACCTCTGCCAGATGTTCCCTGATGCTCTCACTTCCAGGACGGAACACCCCGAGGCCCCGCGCTACCCTAGGCAGGACCATCCCTCTTCTTCCCCCAACATCTGGAGAGCGGCGGAAACAGCTGGGAGGCCCCAATGCCGGCTTGGGGAGGGGGGGAGCGGAGGGAGGAAGGAAAGATGGGCAGAAAGAGGAGGAAAATGTGGGGAGGAAACTCCCGCTCTGCGGGCGGAGGACGCGCGGCCCCGTCCGTGCGTGCGCGGCGCTTACCGGCTCCGTGCGCTGCCCGGGCCGGGGCTGTCCCCGCGGGGCCGGGGCGATGCGAGCGCGGGCGGCTCCCGCCACATCTGGGCGCGGCGGCAAAAATGTTAAGAAGGCCTTAATTGCGGAGGCGGCGCCGTGAGTGGCAGCCGCCGGTCCTGCCCCGGCGCCGTGCCCGCGCCGCCCCGCCGGCAGCACCCCCGGGCCCCTCCCGGTACCCCCGGCAGCAGCGGGACGCTCCCAGCAGGGACCGGTGTCGCTCGGGAAACAGGAGGCTGCAATTAAGAGCTGCGGAAAGACGTTTCCTCTGTTTGGGTTCGTCGGGGTGGATTTTCTTTTTTTTTCTTTTTTTTTTTTTTTTTTTTTCCCTCCTCGTTTCGGCATTTTCGGGAGCTCGTGTTGCGAGCTTCCTGCGCAGGAGCCTGCCTCCGCCACCGGCAGAGCACAGCTCCCGTTCATACGGCTTTTCTTCCCCTCCCGTCCTGCATCAGCGCGTTAGAAATGTGATTACAGCGCCCATCACTTTTAAGCACATAAATCTCGCTAAGCACTGGGGTAACCCATACTCATGCAAGTCTCCTGAATCATGCAGCTCAAATTTCCAGAACAATTGAGGATATTAAATCATACCTCAGTACCAGAGCAAACTTATATCCTGCTGAAGTCTCTCAGATGTCATGCTATGCTAAAGGGCTCTTACAGATAAAGCGGTGCCCCTGGCTCAGAGCAGGGCACACCAAAAGGACTTGAAGGTTTTGGTAAGTGGCAGTAACGAAACCCTGCAGCTGCTGCGTGTCCAGGGTGCACGGTGGCTGTTGAACGTCACTCTATAAGGGCAAGGCTTTAAATTTCAACTCACTTGGTGTAATTTTACGTCTTTACTTTGCAACTGATGCTTCCCTGAGAGTGGTCAGAAGCCGGCGTCTTGGTGTGAGAAACGAGAGGGGAAGGAGCGCGGTTTCAAAAAGTAACAACGTTGCCAAGACAGTTTTAGACCTGTTAAGTGTATTCTCCTATCATTTTACCAATGAGCTTCAAAGTAAAATATCTACAGAGCAAGCACAAAGTCTCCCGGGGAACTTGATTGACAAGGGCATTTCAGTAACATTTCCAGCTCAGGAATGCAGCTGTTCTACAGGGATCTCACACCTGGGGCTGAGCCGCAGCCACAGGAGCCCCCAGCCCTGGCAGAGCTGTGTGCCCATGTGCCCTGAGCTGCTGAGCCAGGCTGCAGCCCCTGGAGCATCCCCAGGGGCACAAAGCTGCACTTTCTGGGAAGGGCAGCAGCACTGTTTGGATAGACCCTGGCTTTGACGCAAGGGAACAGTGGCTGGACCTTGATTGCAAACAGAGCTGCAGTGACCCTTTAGGTAGGATAGCTCAGCTGCCCCTTGCAGCCTGGGAAGTGCCTGCTGGCACAAAGCTGAGCAGCCTCATGCTAAAATGTTTTATCTCCCCCCTGAGTTACACCTGACACGTGCTGCTTTCCTCTGCTCTCTCACAGAGGTGCAGGCAGCACCAACAGTCACAAGGTGAGGGCTCAATACCTCATTTCTGTTTCTCCCTGCAGTGCTTTTGAAGACTATTTCCTTCAGCAGGGAAAAAATTTACTAAGATTGGTATTCCCTTTGCCACCTCCATGTTGCTTCACAACTGGACTTTCTCTCCAGCAATTATTCCCTCAGCCAAGAAGAGTGGAATTTTACAGCTTTCTTCAGTATTCTGTCTGAAGTTGTGATTTTTTTTATTTCCTTCCAAGTTTTGTCCTATAAAATGGCATTTCTTGGGTGACTAGGGACTACTGGAGATATTTGTCAAATATAAATCTTCATTTATGGCTTCAGTTAGCCCTGGTCATGGACTTAGTTGGACTCCTGGGCCTTGCAAGCTCCCATGTCACCACTGGGGCTGTGTTAAGGCTGCTGGAGACTGCTGCATGGCTCATCAGGCTGCATTCCCATCATGGGACATGCCTCTGGATACCCACCTGCTGCAGCTCTGGATGCATAAAGAAATATGCATTCTCTAGCCTTTCTCCTCTGTGAGACAGTATTAGCTGGCATGGCTTAAAGAATTATTTGGAGATATGTGCATAGACAGACACAGGCAGTGCAAAACTGATACATGATCAATACTTTTTACATTATAAATCTGAGGGTTTAGAGGCAGGAAACAGCAGGAACTTCCTGGAGCTGCTAAAGGGGGAGGAGGAGACATCTCCTCTCTTTGGTTTTCCTTTATGTAATCTTTGAGGGAAAGAGAGCTTTATTGTTTGCTAGGCCAGGCCAAATATATTTTAGATAGTTGTGTAATTTTGTTCTAATCTCTACCTCCTTCTCTTTCTGATACAAAGTTCTGGAAAGCCCAGATGTTTTGTGTGCACCAGTGTTACTAAGAAAAATTAAAAGTGCCATCTCCTGCCCTCTTTTTCTCATCACCTCCCCTTGTTATAGGCACTCAACACTCAGTTGCCTTTGCCCTTGGGCAGTTGTTAAGCCAGGCTACAATAACAGACTCTCCCTCAGGTTTCCTGTATGGAAACAACCCAGCAGAGAAGAGGAAAAGCAGTGTGAAGACCTGGTGTTTGTAGAGAGACTCTTCTGTGTTGAGTTGCAGCACAGCAGTCCTTTGTCAAACTATTCTTCAGAGGAATAAAACTGGCCTAAATCCCCTCGCTTCCCCAGCACTCTGATGAGAACCATCTGTGCAGGTTTTACCACCTACCAGAGTCCCAAGGGTGGTATTTGTGTTGTTTTCTATTGCTTGAAGCCTTTCCGTTCTCCATCTGCCATTAGATGGCAGCAACTGAATGCGAATGAGGCTCTGTAAATCCTGCTTAACCTGAGGCTTGTGCAGGGATTTCAAGCTTTTCGCTTCTAGGTCAATGGTTCAAATCTGGCCCGGGTCAGGAGGGGCCAGAGATCTTTATAATCCGGCAGCTGTGAGAGCAGTTTGTGCATTTCTGCTTCTGATCTTGCGGAGGAGTGCCCTTCTCATCGCTGGCACTAATTGGCACCAGTCCTCGACCCACCAACAAAGAGGCAGAAGATGCTCCAAAGAGATGAATTCTCCTCCCTGAGTTCTGTGTGATTGGACAAAGGGGAGCGTTCATCCCTGTGCTGCCCTCGGTAATGATGCCAGAAGAATGTGCTGGCCCCATTCCTCCTCCAAGAGAGTAACTGCCCAGAATTATCTCATCCCGGGCAGGAGGGTGACAGTTGGGGTCTTTCAGCAGATAAAATTAATTTGTTATTAATTTGAGATATGATATTCGGACAGAGTAGTGATGGCGCAATGAAATCCTGTCAAACATGTTGTAATACCTATGTTATTTACAGCCTCTATAACTGCAGGGACCAACTCCATCCAGAACTGCCTTACAAGGTGACCTAATTTGGAAAGGAAAACAGATACAGAATTTTCTCACATTAAAGGACACCTCACTGTGACTTCTTCCCTTACAGTTTTAAAGCCCTGTGAAGGACTGGAGCAACTGATACTCTCCAGAGAAACCCATGAGATAAGAACTGAGCCTAGCAAGCATGTGATTGTGGTACAGTTCAAGCCTGTGTGTGTATCACTCAGCTTGTTCTATGAAGATTTGAGAAGCATGTCACTACTTAAATCCCTCTGGGCAGCTGGGCTCCCCTCCAACACACAGATTTCCCTTGCTGCTAATGAATCAGCCTCTTTTGCTAACTTACCTCCAAAGCTCGTTTACTTGGAAACCAAGGGAGCTTAGGGAACAGGGTTCTCTCCGTGCATAACAATGACCTATTTGAGATACTTCTCCTCACGGGGTAACAGAGAAGGGGCAGCAATAGAGTGCTTCTATCCAAAAGGCATTTGCTGGAACCAGTCCTAAACAATGCCAGCCATTTCCATTTTGAGAGCTGACATTTCATGGTGCCAGTGCCACCACACAACAGAAATGCCAGTGTGAGCCAGGGATGGGATCCAGCTGTTTTATTTTTAAGGACACGCAGGCAGGCCCGCTGCACACGTGGGTATTATTGTCCAAACAGCCCCCTTCCCACGGAAACTGGTAACCCAGAATGGAAATGCTCCACAGCACTCCCAGAGCAGCAGGGCAGAGAGGCCAAGGGCATGTTTCACACATCTGGGCGTGTTTACATCCCTGGGCTCTCTCAAGTATCATGAGCAGTACAGTAGGGAAAACACAGAAATGCATTAGGGAATCTGCCCTTCCTCACTGAGCTCCGTGCTGAATTAGCAGCACAGTTTACAGGAAAGAGGCACCTTGGCCTCACAGGAAATGCTTGGGAACAGGAATGGTTTCATGTGCCATCTTGCTCTGAGATGTGGGCTACTGCCCAAGCTTGGGAAGAATTCAAGCACTTTGTGATTTTCCCACAGTTAGTCCCCTGAAGCAAAATGGGAGGAAACAGATTATATTGTATTCATTTTGTATTTTATTTAACCCAAACCTCACCAATCTGATTACAAGGCTGAGATCCCTGAATGGAGCTCTGTGGTTTCAGCATATCTATGGTTGATATCCTGCAAGGCAAGAGAGGACCACTGTCCTGTGTGACAATATGTCTCCAGATTAACTCCTGGTTGAACTGGAGCATTTCTGTTAGAAATTCTGTTCTTATGTCTTTATGAGGTTTAATTTTACCCATTTTAGCTTCCAGCCCCTCAAAGTAGTTACATCTTTATGACTATATAAGCTCATCTCCAAGCTGCCCTTTCCCTTCTTGTCATTCTCCTCGAGTCCCTCACATTAGGACAGGCAGATTAGCTTTCACTCCCTTGTGTGGGTCTCCCCAGAATTTCCCACTGAACAAACTTTCCAAATAGTGTGCAAAATAACAGAGCCCAGTACTGGCCAGCAGTGCTGAATCCAGAGAGAACCAAACTATCTGCCCTATGGCAGCAGACTTTTTTGTCAAACCAGTGACCATTTCAGCCCTGCTAGACTTTTAAAGAGTGGCACGTTGGCCCATGGATTTTCATACCTGAAGTTGTTTGCCTGTGCAGCAGGAGACTCTCAGTGTGCTACAGTGTCTCTTCAGCCCATCAATAATAGATCTCTGCCTGTAACCTGTCAGCCTAACTGGATTAATTTGAAGGGACCCATTTTTTCCCTAAATAAATGTTCACTGGTGTTAATTACCCAGTTATTTTCATTCATGAGTCACCTCTGAGCTCTTCCATTATTTTGACTAATAACTCTGTCACAAGCAGTGACACACAGCACAGCCTTTTTCCATTCTCCTGGAACATACCTGTGCTTTGCTGCCTCTGCAGGGTACATTTCTCACCACCAACAACAGCTCAGGCTACTGAGTAAGAGGGAGAGAAAAAAAAAAAATCAGTGTTTTCACAGAATCACAGAATGGTTTGAGCTGGAAGGAATTATTAAGATCATCTATTTCCAACCCCCTTGCCATGGGCAGAGTTTTTTCTAGTTACCAACAGGCAGTTACTCAGTATGCTTCATCTCCCCAGTTTACTCATGACTAGATCAAATATGCTCTGTTCAGCTAATGCTATTTTTAATATTAAAAAGGGAGTCATCTTCCTGACCCCTGAAAATTCACTAAGATATCATGATGAATAATTATTCTTAGTCATCTCGGCATGTTTAATTTAGCATAACTGCACCTTTGCTAAGACACAAGATGGCTGTATTTATGCTAAGCCCTGCAATTAGTTCCCAGTAGCTCACACCAGAGTATGAGGTAAAAGCTGTACTCAGTATTTCTCAGTTTCCCAGTTTGCAGTGATCACTTCAAGATACCTTGCAGAACCACTCAAGAATACTTACACTTGCAGTGCCCTGGTACAGGACACAGCCTCAAAATAGGTTTTATAGGTGCTTGAGCATGATGGAGGTGGCAGCAGGAAATCTTTCTGCTGGGATGCAGCAGCTCCAATGTAGGTAACAAGAGCATAATTTCTTCCATTCACTTCTGCCTGGAACTAATACCTCAAAGTAAGCCAGTGATCCTTCTACTCATTTTTTTTTTATAGCTCTTAAAATAAACCATCTTTCAAAACCACTCAGTTTTGCAGAAACTTGGATACTATTGAACATATTTGGAGCTGTGTCACTGCCCCCAAGGAAGATGAACAAAGCAACCTTTCCCTACAGACAAATGCCTCTTGCTTAAGAGGAATTAAATATAGACGCTTATTCCTTAGGGCATGGCTGTACTGAAATGAATATTATTAAGTGACTTAAAAATTATCATTTTGAAGTGTCATTCTGGTTTGTTAGAATATTTCCTCAGGAAACAGTTTCATTCTTACCTTTTGCTGATCTGTCTTGTGTTATGAATTGCTGCCTTTGATTTCTTAGCTGTTTGCTGCTGCAAATAGCAACAAACTTTCCCTTCTGAACTCTTTCCAGAAAAGCTGAAGTTTTCTTGAGAAAGCATCTGGGAAGTCCCAACAATATTGTTTAGCAAAACAAAATATGCACTTGAAGTGTCCCAAGGATCACCACAAGAAACAGCCTCAAGTTTGGCAGTCTTAGCAGAAAACTCAGGGCTTAAAGAGGACTGTGATGTCTGAGCGTGGACATATTCACTACCAAAAATAGGCTTTAAAAAGCATAGTTATAGGATTTCAGGGACACCTTTTCAAAGGAATTGTCTAACAAGGCAGGTGCATTTTGTGTACTCTGTCACAGGACTTGCCAAATGAATATATAAACTGCACAAAATTATTATGCAAATGTATTTTAATCCCCAAACATCTCAATGCAAAACTCCCAGCATTTAAACTTTTGGAAACCATGGGAGGCACCAAGGTCTGGGCTCACACCTCTGACAAACCCTCAGACTGCTCTTCACTCAGCCAGCCCTTGGTCACCTGGGGGCCCAGTGTCCTTCCACTGTCATGAACAGACACACACAAATGTCACAGATCACCTTCTAAGAGCAGGATCTGCCTGTGGGCTGGGTGGCAGGGAAGACATTTTAGCAGCATGGAAATAACAGACTCATATTTCCTCCAAGGATCCTTGAGCAATTTACGAGCTTCCTCAGGAAGATTTATTTGTTAAGCAGTATTCTGAAAAGTTGATAAATGTTACATAAATGTCCTGATGCTGCTGTTATTAGACACAAAAGGGCAGATTATGGAACCCAGAGTCAGGCCCCTTCAAAGTGCAAATACTGGGGTATCTCCCCATCAGTTACCATGCACTCACAGGTGCTTCTCTGGCTGTAGCCCTGCACACCTGCAATTCTTGCTCACGGTATCATTTTTTTGTGCCAGTCCTAATCTAACAACTCTCCTCACTGAAAACCAACAGCAACAACTTTTTCAGCACTTTCAGCTCTGTTTCAATCATGAGTTTTCTCCTTTTTCTCCCAAACACCAAGCAAAGGTCCCAGTTTCTTTTCCCCATCCATGTGCTCTCCACAGGCAGGAGAAAGGGATGTTGCTCATCCTTAGCCACTGCAGCCCTGTTCAGAGCATGTCACCCACAGGCAGAGAGAAATGAGGGGGAAAACTTGTGTCCCTGCTCTGCAGCTGGGCTGCAGCATGTCAGCCTGCTCACGTTTTTAGGAGGTTTGCAGCTGCCTCTTACTCAGCTCCACAGCAGAGGCTGATCAGGCTCACTGGGGCTGTGCTAGGCTCTCCTGAAAAAAAGAAAAAAGGGAAAAGTTATTTATTTATAACTGTGAGATGGAAAAGTGGTTTCTATATTAAATAGAAAGTGTTCCCAGCTGATTAACCCTGGTAGTATTAGGTCTGGGGACTTGTTTGGTTCTATTTGAGCATTAGCTACTATACTTATATTTCCAGGTCCAGTCCTCCACAGAGTGGAGTCCCATAGCATAATTGTTTCCTGCTTAGAGAGGGGATAGTTTATTCTCAACCTGTCAGAAGATCCAGACTTAGAATTGTACAGTCAAGAGGAAAGGAAGACAGTAATTTTCCAGGTTTTTCTGAGTTCTTATTTTGTACTTGAAAAAGAGAATTGTTGAATACACTTGATGCTTTGTGCTGCAGCCATCAGTACCACACGAGCCCCAGTCCTGTGGTCTTGTAGTAAGATCACTTCTGTCTTTTGATGCCAAATTCAAGGGAATGCTCCCACCTAAACAGCAAGCTTAGAAGCACTACATAAGAACTCCTGGGGGCATGCCCACTTCAAAGGGAGTGTGAGCATGCATTTCTCAGTAGCTCCGTGCAGTGGGGTGGTGAGGTAGCTGCAGTGCCCACGTGCAGAAAACAGCTGGATGCAGGCAGACACTCACCCACAGATGCTTCTGGAGCTGCTCTGCCACCACCTCACAGCTCTCTGCAGTCAGTCTCCTGCCACCATAGCACCAAGGCAAAAGACACTTGAGAAAGGCTGTCAAACATGGGTGCAAACTGAAGGAAAGAAGCTCCTTATGCAGATAATCTCTGAGTTCCAGCATGGGCAGATTACATTCTTCCAATTTGCATCACCACTTCTTCTTCAAAGGTATGCAGTGCATGATCCCTCTACCCTGCTGTGAACTGCTGTGCCAGGCTGTGAAAAAAGCACTGCTGTAACATTCAGTCCCAGACACGGGCACATTCCAGGAGCAGGAGACACTATTTCTGTGCCTTTCATTCTACCCTGTCCAGCTGAGCTTGTTTTGAAACTGACTGTCTATTTGTGAGAGACTTTGGAGATACTTGGCTAAAACACACACACAGATCTCCCTTTCCAGCTTAGGCTGCATTTCTCTTGTGGTGCATTAAGGAAACTGAGGCACAAGGAGCTCTAATTAACTCACACAAAGCTACAGATGTATCTGTAGGAGAACAAGTAGAAAAAGACTTTGTAACCTCTAGATTGTATCACATTTCATTATTCTCTAACCTCTTCTCCCTAATAATGAGGAACATCTTTCCAGAGTCAGACTCTAATCTGGAGTGTTCATATACCCCACCATGCAAAGAGATCTCATCCTGATATGGCAAGCCCAGATGCTCTGTAAAAATAGCTTAGAATTCTGATTACATGCAAGTGTGTATGTAATCACCAGAGAAAAACATAATTTTAAGAAATCTTGGGGTTTTTTTTTCCTTTCATTTGCAGCCTAGACAAAGGGAAAAGGCCTCATGTTCTCACTTGTGTGCCTTATTGTGTGCACTTATTTGGTGCAGGGAAATTCTCAGTTCCTGAATGCAAGAAGTGCATGGTCAGAGAGGGTGCACAGCCCACATGCTGCCTCCAGGTCCCACAGCAGCATGCTGAGAGCAGCCATCACATGCCTTGGCTTCTCAAGAACCTGTACCTACAATATTACTCAATCCCCTACACACTCCTGGCCATAGGGAGAACCATTGCTTGCCTGTATCAGCAGTGAGAGGTTTCTATTAAATGCAGAGCCCTTCTGGGTCAGAAACAATGAGCAGCCATAGCACATGATATATGCTAAGTAGCTCTTCAATCTGTTTACCAAAAGCTTTGATACGGTTCTGAAGGATCCTGGCAGTGCTGGGCACTTCAGAGGCAGCACAGCCCAGCTGTTGAAAAAGCAGCTTTGGAGGAGGCAAAGCAAAACTTACATCTGCATGTGCTGCTAGTTTGAGCAGCATTTTACTCTGGTGTTCTCAGTCTTCTCATGTCTGCTACCAGGATAATTACAGTGAACAACTGAGCACAGTCTGTGGTAAAGCCTCCTTAAAGATTTGGGTGATAAAAGCTGCCGACAACATTTATGGATTTTCATTCCATTAGCAGTTAGCTTCTGCCACAAATAGGACCCAAACCAGCTTTGATATCTTAAGATGAGATCTATTTATGTATCTGTGTGCTAAGCAAAAAACCAGAGTCCTTGAAATGACAGCCAAACAGGTTTCTCTGTGTGGAGAGCCAAGCTGCTAAGCAGAACCAATCTGCTGAGCACCACGTGTTGAATGTTCTGCTGTGCCTCAAGAGACAAACTCTGGTGAATGGACACTGCCTTGCCCTGCCTGGAAGCTCTGACCTGGCAGCAAAGTGGTTTGGAGTAATGGGAGCCATAAGTATGTGAGCCCTGAGCTTCCCATATTTGTGGGGTGTGTGGAGCCTGTGGCAGTGCTGTCAGTAGTACATTACATCCCGTGACCTGCCCTGTAATAATGAGTCTGAATGGATGGTGACATTAAGAACCAGGGATAAAAGTTTTGCAGTGTGTACTCCAGGGTGAAGGTAATAATTTAATGAGCTTTTGAAGAATTTGCACCCTTCCAGCAAACTCTGCCTGGGAACGAGCTTTAAAACAACTTCCTTCCCATTTATAACACCAAGGGACTATCACTCCAACTCAACAAATACCACGTCACAAGTACCAGGGAGAGTCTTGTGTACAGGTGCAAAAAGGATCTTGCTGAAGCTTGCCTTACTTTTCAAATTGCTCTATAAATAAATATCTAATCTATAACTTGAAGAGTCCTCAAAGTCACTTGCAGTTTTCCCAAGGAAAGTGACTTTGAAAAAGGTAAATGTTCCAACCTTCCATAAAAAGAGCACTTTCTCTTTAGCACATTAGACAGTGACTATCTTCTCACTGTCAGAATCTAGTTATGCCTGCAGATGCACTGCAACCTCCCTTCTCCTCCCTTGTCCACTTGAACATCCTTTGGGATTTTTTGCTTTATTTGGTTGTTCATTAATACATTAGCTTAATTACCTATATTGAAATAGGTAATTAAGACATGGTAAACTGGGCTTCAGCTTAGGAAGAGCTTTCAGACCACTGAGATAATGAAGCATTGGGCCAGCAGCCTCCAGTAATTGACATCTTTACAGGCATAAACATCTATGCACAGGTAGCTGCAGTGGAGGATGGATGAGAAGGCTTTTAGAGCTGCCTTCCCACTCCACAGTTTGTTAATTATCCATGATGAACATCAACTACCCACTTTCTGAAGGTAATGAAGTATAAGCAGCTAGAGGTACATCCTTTGGTATTTTATAAATTGCAGCTAAGTGTGTCTCATTCTCAGACACTCAACTGAGTTGCTCTGGTTTGCTCAGCTACTGCACATCAGCTGAGCTGCATAAATCTTTGCTTTTCACAGATAAGGGGGGAAATGTAAGTTGTGAGCACTGTTAACCCAGACGAGTAAAGCGTAAACCCCCTGACTGAATATGTCAAAATTGAAAGAGGCTGGATCATACCCATTAAACATTAGGAAGGCTGGAGAGCCAGGGGGCAAATCATCAAATCCATCTGAAACACATCTCTTCAGATGGGACCCAGTAAAAGTGTTCATTGTTCTCTGCTGGCTACAGAAGGAATCTGCCTTAAACACTGAATTTTAAAGTAAACAGACAACATGAGTCTTGGAAGAAATCTTCAGCAGTAAACAAAGCCTAGTAACACTGCCCACCTCTCTGCTTGTACATGGATGTGCTGGTTTTGGTTAAACAAGCACAAGGAGGAAGGCTTTTTGCTCAGACTACAGTGAACACAAGATCCAAGTGGCTTCAGGCTCCATGCCTGTAGACTGAGGTGGATTTCTTCACATCTAGTTAACTACTCTCTTGGCAGAACTGCTTATCTCAGCCCTGCAGCTAAGCAGGGAGGTTTGCATTGCAAGAACACTGTGAGAGCCTCTCAAGGGAAACCTGCCCAACATTTTTCCACATTACAGCCTTAATCCTCAAGGTTCATACTAAGTGCCTCAGCTCGCTGCATCTTTTGCACATGGCAATGGATTCTGTGCAAGGAGACACTGGAATAAGTGTCTAGCACTCCTTTCCTGATGCTGACAATGTGATCCTTTTAGAGCAAGGAAAAAGCAAAGCCCATGATGAGATATACTGATATGGCCTGGTAGAGTTTCCCAGAGTAAAATATAGATCACTTACTCTTCTTTTTCACACAGCTGTTTTGCTTGCCAGTATCTGCCCAATATCCTGCCCTGTGCCAGGTAGTAGAAAGTTCACTGTCTGCCTCTGCCTACTGACAATCCATCCTCTGCACGAGTAGTACAGACACTTTCATAAGATGCTCAGTTTTCAGTGTGTTTCTTCTCCTCCACCTACGCCCAAAGAAATTAATCCTCAAGCTCAAAACTCATCAGAAGATTAAAACCTTTGGAAATGGAGAGCAAAGTTGGAAAGGGGCGGAGGAATGTGGCTCAGTGTTGCAGAGAGCAGGCTGGGTGTCAGAGCCCTGCTCTGTGGTGACAGCCAGCGGTGCCACATGGCAGGGACACCCTGAGCAGTGTCACACAGTGAGCAGTGTCACACAGCAGGAACATCCTGAGCAGTGTCACACACAGGCACACAGTGAGCAGTGTCACACAGCAGGCACACAGGGAGCAGTGTCACACACTGAGCAGTGTCACACACTGAACAGTGTCACACACTGAGCAGTGTCACACAGCAGGCACACACTGAGCAGTGTCACACAGCAGGGACACCCTGAGCAGTGTCACACAGCAGGCACACACTGAGCAGTGTCACACAGCAGGGACATACTGAGCAGTGTCACACACTGGCACACAGGGAGCAGTGTCACACACTGGCACACACTGAGCATTGTCACACACTGAGCAGTGTCACACACTGGCACACCCCGAGCAGTGTCACACAGCCCGCACCAGCGCAGCAGCGGCACACACGCTGGCGCCAGTGTCACACACTGAGCAGTGTCACACAGCAGGGACACACTGAGCAGTGTCACACACTGAGCAGTGTCACACAGCAGGGACACACTGAGCAGTGTCACACAGCAGGGACACACTGAGCAGTGTCACACATGGGCACACAGTAAGCAGTGTCACACAGCAGGCACACAGTGAGCATTGTCACACCCTGAGCAGTGTCACACCCCAAGCAGTGTCACACAGCAGGGACACACTGAGCAGTGTCACACACTGGCACACCCTGAGCAGTGTCACACAGCCCACCCCAGGGCAGCAGCTGCTGCACAGCTGGCGCAGGGCTGGCTCTGGCTCCCTACACTCCCAAGCACAGCCACTCTGTGTTTTGGCATGTGGGTGGCTGACAGCCACTCCAGTTTGGCCACAGTGCCAGTGCAAAAGGAACAGAGGTAGTTGCAAGAAGCAGCTCCTTTTTCTTTCTACCTCCAACCTCTGTGTATTGAAACATAGAATAAAGTCATCACTTAATACGAGGGTCTTCTTCAGACAGAGAAACCTGAGCTGTCTCTGGGGAGGACAAGGTTGTCAGATTAGATTGACTACAATCAGCTATAGACAACACTGGTTCTGGCAGAGGTCCTCATAACACATTCCCATTAATGATTTCCACCCTCCCTCACTCATGTCCCAATGAGTGAAAGCCTGCTGTCAGAGGGACATTGATGGCTAAAGGGATAAATGTCCTACAGAGCACAAAATTCACTACATGCTTCTAGAAATGATGGGCAAACCTGCTAAAACGTTTTCAGTGAGAACATCTAATAATGGAGTTGTGTATCCCACAGGGGTGGAAGATAGGGCACAAGATTATAACATTTTCCCCAATGACTGAGAACAAGACACTTATGACAACATTTTTAATTAG